CTCTCTCTCACACGGCCCACCTTACGGGATAACGCGGGTGCTCGCGTTCGAGGGACCGATGCATTCTTCGGGAATGCTTCGTCGCCTGGTACGCAGCGGAGCTCCCAGGTAGGAGCGAGGGAATGGGCTCTTTCATGCTCCTTCGGTTACTCAATCCTTTGTTTGCGATTGCATTAAAGCGGAAAAATACGCTTCGCCGTATCCTGTGCTCGCGACGTGCCACTTTATCGTTGTCCCGTCGCTGTTGTGTAGACGATACGTCTCAAGAATATGCGTAACAAAGATCTGACGGGACTTTGATGACTGAACTCTTCGCGTAAGGTTTGCATCGATACTGGTAAACAGACGAGCGAATCATTATTAAAAAAAAAAATAGGAATGCTACAAGAGACCAAACTGAAAGATACCCTGTGTAGGAGATTTCTCTTTCTTTCCCTTTTATCATTTTATTTACTCGCTTACCACTCAACTAAATTAACATTAACGTGGCAGCTCTGGTATTTATAAATTTCACGCTTCGTCGTCGCAAATGGCCGAGTCGTTCGTTATAAAGCGCTTCTGGAAGTATTGTAACGGTACACGTCAGCCACGTGCCTCAGAAATGGCCGAGATATTTGTGTGAGTCTTTCTTTTTCACATTTTTATAGAGGGTAAAATTTAAAATGCGAAACGGATTCCCGCCGTGAAGGCAATTAAATTAAAAGTCCAACGTATCAAGAGAAGTAATTTCTGCTTTTACGACACATTCAGGCGGACCCGCGTATCAGTTTACGGAACAATGCAGTCGCGGAAGGGATAAAAGTACCCTCTACTTTGAAATTTCGGCATTAACAAAGTTATTTATCGTGTCAGGCGCAAATGCCAATTTAAGACGTAACCGCTATAATGATGCTAAAGTCAAACCGGTGAGCTGATAAGATTTAACTTGTTGAGCTCGGCGACAGACATTGGGCATACCTTGCTAGCGAGAAAATACATCTCCGCGCAACAAGAAACTTTAACTCTGCAAACGATTCAAAGCATTTCTAAATGTCAGCGAGAGACGTTAATTCCGACATTTACATTTACGCTATTTTCAATCGGTGAGAAAAATGACCATTTCCTCACAATGACAAATTTAATAATAAAAATACATCTTTTTGCACGATATAAATTTTAATCTCGTAGATTAAAAAAAAATTGCAAAGTAATTGAAAATTAAACTACTTGAATTCAATATCATAAAATTCCAGTTAAGAATTGTTAATTCTTTAAATAGTTTTCTGGTTTGCAATTAAATATACAACATATTGATTGTAACGATAATAAAGATTAAAATAATTCAAATGCACAAACGAATGAAAATAGCATTATTATGCGATCATTAAGCTTTTATTATTATATCTATATTTCAAACTTTCTCTATTGTTATTTATTTAAAATTTTTCTATTTTTCATAAAAAGTATCAATAATGTTTAATACAAATACAGAAGAAGAATTGAAATATCATGTAAATTAATTTAAATACATATTTTTTTAAGAAGAATAAAGTTGAAATTTTCTTTATCAAAATGTTATAATTGTTGAATTTCTTTAAATTTTAACGTTTCAATGTGACGAATGAACAACAATATATGATAACTGATGTTACATTACACTGTCTTTTACGACGAGACATATACTTGTACGACACGTGTTGTCGCTCTGGAAGATTGCGATCCTGAGTAAAGTCGACACGCATCGCAGTAGAATACCTATAAAACCCTTATCTACTTAATACGTAGAAGATGAAGATAAGTGTTATACTATGTTAAAAGTAACACAAAGTGTTCTTTGCAACATACATTCATTTAGATAATGTATTATATTACTTAGCCGTAGACAAATATTTTGAATTGCATGTATTTGTTGAAAATAAATTGATTACTACTTACCTTAAAAATAGAATTCTATTGTTAATCTACATTTTTTATGGATACTACCTGTATCTATCATTCTGACACGAACGTATTTTCGACCGTCGGCATCATTAATTTATCCATCGTAGGGACATGCGGTATATCCAAGCTCATTAGGGAGAAAAAACTAAGGGTCAGAGCTCAAAGAAGTATTTCTTTCGAGGGTTAGGCTTTTTCGTTTGTGACATGACCCTAACTATGTCTGTCAAGCGACCAATTGGTTATCCAGTTACGCTTCAGTCTAGACATCTTCGTCACGCTTTCTTCTAATGAAATGTGACGAATTAATTTAATGCAAAAGCTTTGAGCAAAGAAGAGAGATGTTATATTAAGATTACATTTTAATGACATAATAATTAGAACGTTAAACTCGTAATTTCGGAAAAAATGTGTAAAAAGAAGACTTACAAAATATAAAATGTTCACACAAAGAATTCTCTTTAATAATTCTTTAACGCGTTCTAACTTGTAATATCATAAAACAATATTTGCCGAAAGCTCCACTTAGTGGAGATGACTCGCCTAATACTTTGTCCAATCCTGTTTCCAAGGATTTAGCGAGGATCTTATTTTTGGATGGAACGTATACGAGGTGATATGTATACCAAGGAAAAATAAACCCCAACATATGTTTCCGCCTCATTGGTGAGGAAAAAAGATCGTGCAAGGTTAAAAAGCTGTCTTTTCGACGATCCACGAGACAGCCCTTCAGTTTCCAGCTGAGAGGATAATATCCGACCTTGTGGCCATTCCTAAGGATGTGGAACGAAATTCAACAACACTAATACGAAATATCTTGTTTATTCGCCAACAGTTTCGCCTTCTCCGGCGTGGAAGTTATTGTACAAAAATTATTAAATTTTGTTGTACACGTGACACAACATTGGTAACTATTTACAGCTTTCTCGAATATATATTAGAATTCTTATAAAACATCAGTAAATTTAAACAATCCGCGAATAACCATAGAATGATTCTACAATCAGTCGAAGCGCGACATTTATACAACGCAAAGTTTAGCATTTAAGGCACATTTATATTATTGAATTTGTAGATGGACGTCACACAGTTGAACAACAAAACGATAACTCGAAAAATTTCTTCACGCTCGCAAATATAAGCCGGAAGTTACGTGAATTCGCGATCGATAAAAACAACGATTTCGCGGAAAAACCGATAAACCGATCGCGAGTTTCTCCTCGAGGAAATTCCTTCACTTTTGCATTTTCATTCTTTTTAGCCTTTTTAGACTACGGAATAGTCCTCGATCAGAGTCTCGCCAAAATGAGTTACAACGTAATCGTGATAATACATCATTATACAAAGTGGTTGCCCGATGATGAGACTCGCCCATACAACGATGTTGCCCCATCTGGCGCCAGCGTATCGTTCCACCATCTTGCTCAGCACCGACAGTGGTATCTAGAATGAACAATTAGCGTTTCACGACCGGAATTTCTGTATTTAGAAACAAGGGACAGGGCATATCTTGTATGCGCGTATAAGATGTAGTGCACCACATAATTTCATGTAAAGCATAGCAAATAATGCAACATCTGAAATTCCAGAATATAATAATTTCTTTACCGAATACATTAATTGATATCTATTAAAAATAGTTAAACATCGCGCTTTATTCTTTCTTCGATTATTTAGATTTGTAAATCTAGATTAAATCCTTTGTTTTATTTCACGGGATTCATTGCAATCTTGAGCAATCTAGAATATTATTGGACTGTCTAAAGCCGTATAGTCTTTGAGAGATCAGGAATTTCCTGATACTAGAATCAATATTTGTACAGTCAACATTATATACGAAGCAAACGCGAGAAACTCTTACCTGTCCCATCATACCCATAAACGCCCATATCTTGAATGTCTTCAAAGGTACACTGACGAGATATTCATGGAAGAAAGCGCTAATAAAGAAGACGGTCACGGACGCTGTGTTTTTACTATAACCCATCTCTACTATCGGAATATAGAGATGTCTGCAACATAAACATATCGTATCGTTATAATAATAAAATTCTGTATACACATATAATTTAACTTTAATTTCAGGAAAAAAATATTTTTCTTTTATTTTTTAAATAAAATCCAGAAATTAAAATTGAATTATATATGTATGCAGAATTTTATTAATTAGTTTAGTTAGTTTATTAAATATTTGTTCATATTAAAACAATATTTGGTTTCCTTCTATTTTATAATATTTTTATACAAAAAAATCGGTCACGTAGTATTCTGATAAAATTGCATATTTAATCTAATAGAAAACGCTGTAAAACGACTCAATCTGATTTTAATCATGACGAGTCTGAAAGGAGTATATTTAGATCACATTCGCCTATTATGCCGACAATGTCATTATCGGACAACACAAAGGAACAAGCGTTTCTGTAGTATTCCGTGTTCTTACACGGTGGTTATCCCGAGGAATACACGCCAAAGCTGTTAGGCCGATAAAATGTAAAAACTACGATGGCACGAAGTCGCTCCAAAAAATTAAAGCAATATTCAGGAAAGTTTCGCAACATTCCGGTTTGGCAACACTTTGCCATTACTGTTTTTGTTTGTATGGCTGAACAAGCAGAGCCGGGCAACTCGGGAAAGAATCGTTAGTCGCTTGGCTATCGGAGGAGATGCATCGGAAAGAGAGAAAGATGTGGAAGAACGTTCCACCGAGAGAGCGAACGGAAAAAGGAATGCGAGAGAAGAAAGCGGTTGTGGAAGAAGAGAAAATTCAAAGATAGGACGACGACAGTTTCTAAGGATTTCGGGCCGTGCACGTTTCGCCGCGTCCTCGGGACTTCTGCTCTTGCCAGATCCTTCCCCCGCATCCCACCGTGTGTTTCTTTTCCCTCGACCGAAGCGAGGAAGGCGCTCGGAGGAATATCTCCAGTTATAAGGATATTATAAGTGCCGCGGGGAATAAACAGCCTTAAGTGCGCCATCGCGATGCGTATCGGCTTTTCCCATTACAAACCTGAAAAGCCGTCGATGGTGGCCTCGAACGTTCTCGTCAACAACGACACAACTCTATGCGCCTATGTCGTACTTCGCGTAGTCTGGGGAGCATTTCCATTTTCACCTCGACCGCGCCCCACGTATCCCCGCGCGTACTACGGCCGCATGCCAGTCGCATACATGCTTGCAAATGCAGCTGCGTATCTCGGTCGTGGCGAGAAAAAAAGGAACCGGCGACCGTAAGCGGGCAGGTGCGTCGCCGAGGTAAAAGAAGCGCGAGCGCCAGGGTGAGATTTTGAAATTCGCGTCGTGAAAACTCGCGCGACATCTCTTTAGCGAACCTCTTATTTTCCTCCATTTTTGTGTCATTTAAAAAGAGGACATGGCCAGTCATTCTCACGGTACGTGTCGCGTTTTATAAGGGTACGTTATAAGACAATCCCGCACCGGTTATGCAACTGTGACTACTGTTCTATTACATCACGTCTGTTGGAATTAATTCGAGTAACGCGGTTTTTTTTCAGCGCGATAAAATTAAATTTCTTCACATCTCTTATTACACAAGTAATATTACTCGTATTTAATAACGATAAAGATAACGAGATATCGAAAAGAAAAATGTAAAGGACTCTGATAGGCATTTCAAAATGGTCCATGTCGCGAAGTATCTAAAATTCGACACGGAAAGCGGTAAACTGAACTCTTTATACGATATTCATGGTAAACCTCGCGCAGTTTGTACGTGGCAATTCCGGTTCTCTTTTTTTCTCGGTCACATAATAAGAACTTCCTACGGCCACTTTTACAGGGATTTAAACTTTCTTTTGGGCTACTTTCGAAGTACAAAGAACCGGCGCGGGCTCTTGAAAAGGAGGTCGTCACTATGGGCTCGAATTGTTAGGTGCACGTGCGATGGGTAACCGTGGAAGATGGAAGGCCCGCCGGAAAAGTCTTTCGGAAGTTCGCTGATTGTATTGAGCGGAGGATGTATAATCTAATGTGGCGGCGACAGCCGAGATGTATGAGTTGAAGGAGACATTTTAGGCGGAATAAAAGGTTTTTACAAGAAAACTCATTTTTATAAGACGGAATGTTGTCTCTTGTAACGTCTTACATAATGATCCGCCTCTCTATACATGTACATATAATTTTTCAAAATTTTATATACACATAAGAGTTCGACTGGTCTCTTTTAGCATATTATAATTCGAATAAATATAATAAAAAATAAATACAATAACATATACATTAATTAACATGAAACATTTTCATTTAATATAATTTAATTAAGCTTACTAGGTTAAAAGAGTTGTTTTAATTGTATAAAGTTGATCGTACGCTAAAATGTTAGAGACAACTAGCATTGTGATATCATTTTCGTTGTCTGTTTGTACGTAATTGGCAAGGCGTGTCAGCGTTACTGAGGTGATATATGAGCGTTCCACGTCGAAATGACGGTCATAGTTGCGAAATAATCTCAGCGAGACGCATATTGCATTATTATATTAATCGTGTTATCCATATAGCCGAGTCAAAGGTGCAAAGTAAAGCACCGGAAGAGTTTTTCCTTCTATAGCGCGGAAGGTACACCGAGTATTACGGAAGAAAGAGATAACGGGGATAAATAGCATAAGAGAACGGTGTGTGAGAGGAAAAGAGAGAAAGAGACAAAAACGTGGAAGAGACAGAAAAGTGGAAGAAACGAGGCCATCACTACAAGCTGGACCTTCGATCGACTTTCTCTGTTCAATCTAACCAAGGTTAAACTTCGTTAACAAGTATGCGCCTCTTTAAGAAGATTCAATTACATTTTTCGCAAATAACGATAATGTCATCTAACGTCATTTAATCCAGAAAGAAAGGAGAATTTTCTTGCATAAAAAATATCTAGTTTTCTTTTATTTTCTGCGCATCTGATTACTTTGCGACTAAAACTTAATTTGATACATAATAAATCATGATCTATGTATTGCTCATAATAGTTATTATTTCATAATATCTCTTTTTAATGAGCTTTTTAATGATTTATATCAAATTACTTTATTACAAATTGCTAACAACAATTTGCTTAATGTATCATATGTATCATATGTAATATCATAAAAGTATAATTATGTTATCGTGCCAAAAAACAGGATGCTAATGAATGCTTCCCAGATAACTAATGATAATAAATAATTCGAATAAGAAACATAAATTATTTGTCATTTAATCATAAATATTTTAAAAGATAATCATTATTATCAACTTATAAAATATTATAAAATATTATAAAATATATATCAGCTATTAAAATATAATCAAAACTTAAAAATTTTATATTTGTCACTCGACATTCTCGATTATTTAAATATATGACAATTTTAGCGTAATCGGAGAATTATTTTAAACTGCTCTTATAAAAGTGTGTGGAGAAGTTCTTGAGATCAAATATTGCTATGAATGGAAATCGGTTTACTCACCGCACAGCCCAGCGATGCACCAGCATGTTCCAAGTTCTCCAGAACGTATCAATGTTGTTGGCGTTCCACCAGTCGCAATAAAAATTCCGGTCTGCAAAGTGTAGCAACTCGCCTAACAGATTGAGGAAAGAGTGAAATATCAAATAGAAGAAGCAAAGCCATATCAGATGATTTGGTATCTGAAACAAAAATTCAAGATGTTAGTGTAAGCGGTTACAAGAGTCAAAGTGTTGCATAATAATAATAATATTATTTGTAATATATAAAACTAAAAAGAAAGAATTGCAAAGTCAATCCACGTGTCAAGAATAAGACTATTAATTAAACAAAAATTACTCCATCTAATTAGACATTGTAAAATAAAATCTTTTTTTTTACGAAATATTTAAATCTTGAGAATTACTCAAAAATAGATGATATATAGTTGAGAAAAAAAGGTACAAAAGATTTCTTTATATGTACTATATTACTGTTGTGAGAAATTTGTGCGTTATTTCTCATAAAATTCATGAATGAAAAACACGTGTAAAAGTGGTAAAGTACGTCCGAAACAACAAGAAAAAGCAAACAGCAAGGAAAAGAGTCACAATTATAAAACGTAAAAAAACTCATCAAAGCTCACGCACACATATGATATATCATGTTTTTAATGGACTAAATAAAATACAACGCTTCATAATGATGCCAGAAAAAGTTAACGAAAATGAGAATAATCAGGGCGTAGAGACGGGCATATTACAGTATTATTTACGCACCTGCAGATGAAAGTGAAGCGACTTTATAACGAACTTATAAATTATCCCGTCTGTTCCTTTAATTATGCTTTAATGGAAGTAACTTAGACAGAGCCTTTGATCATTTATCGCGTACATAACACGATGCCACGCTAAAAGTTCTTATTTACTTTCTTATTTACTGCAACTATATTTCCTTTTTTAATACTGTCAAAAAATTAGAGGAAAAATGATATGTCGTGATCATATTATGATTTTTATCATTATATTCTCATATATTATTATCAATTCATTCTTTACATTTTTCTATTTTTTTATCTCAACTTTAAGACTGATTGTTTTTCTTCTATGTTGCAAGGTTCATGTCCCTCGTGGCGCAATGACAACCAAAATAAATGTTTCCGCATCAAAGGAGTAACGCCGAAAGGAAAAAGGAAAGGGAAAAACCGGGTATGGGCTCGTCCCTAGCTTCAGACAAATACTTTCGCGAAAATTTCTCGACGAACCGCTCGCTTTTATGGCGAAGAATTTCGAAGTTATTTCGTTTCGGATGCCATTTCGGGACCGTCGAGTCGCGGTATCATCCGCGTGCTTCCACCGAGCTCTCTCACGCGAGGCAAAGGACTTAATAATGTTGCCAGGCACAAAGGTCAAGTCTCTTGCCGCCAGGCATTCGTAGCACTTTCGCGAAAAAAGGACAGAGAGCCCTTCAGCACTTCCTCTCGGTTCCGAGCAGCCTCTTCCGGCATCCACATAGTCCGGGAAAACTTACCTCGGCGTTTTAATTTCGTTTACTCGGGGATACTACCGAGGGAGGAAGAAAAAGACAGAGAATTGAGATCTACGATGAGGGGAGAGTAGATGATGGGATGGGGTCCTGTGCTGGAGCCAGAAGCCAGTGAATCGTTTGAGACACTTCGACGATACCACAAAGGGAAAAGCGGTAAACTTTAAGCTTTTTTGACCAGAGGCTATCTCGAAAGAAACCGCTTTCTCTCCAAGTAGTTATATGAGAGATGTAAAATCTTGTCGATCAAGTGCGCTCAAAGAATACATATGTACATATGGCATTTTGCCGATGATGAGAATTTTTAAAGACGGAAAAATATTGATTTTTCAGACGAAAATGTTCTTTAAAATCTCATTTGTACACATTATCTGTATATCTTTAAATTGTACGAATTTTATCTTTTGATAATTTGTAAATATTTATATATCTTGATAAATATTTGGAATCTTGAAATTTTGTATTATCATAGATGCAAATATATGTAATTGCTGTAATCAATTTCTTTTTCGTTTAAAATATTTCCCATTATTTTGAAGAATCCCAAAGGGTCATTTGATCTCTCTTGGGTTAATTGTATACAGATTATTGGTTACATATGCAAAGAAGAAATATAATACTGGATCTAACAGAGTCCTATAAAACATCATTTACGAGTCGCAACAGTCGAACAGGAGAGCGTTCATTCATATTGATGCGTAGCTCAAACATCGATTCCCGTGCAAGAAAGCACTAATACTGTTCGATTCGTGCTTGATCCCATCGGCGGCCGCATAACATTAATGCGTGCTTGGCTTACGTGCACCATCCGGCAGTCGATTTTCATCGATAATGCAGGAATATCGGATTACGAGGCGCGGCACGGCGCAGCGGATGATCCGCGAGATTTTCTACATGCGCGTAGTACAGATCGACGTATCCGCGTCATTAGTAATCGTTGTGGAAAAAAAATAAGTCGATCTGCCTAAGCGCGTGCATCGCATTACCGTTAGCAATCGATATTTTCCATTTTCTTCCCGATCGCTGACGGTATCCTTCCTCTCGACTGCCATTCTCTCTCTCTCTCTCTCTCTCTCTCCGTGTCCCGAGGGTGCACCACGTGTACCTGTCTATCGGAGACGTTTACGCTTACTAGGTCTAGAAGGACATTAACATGTGAAAGGTATAGGCCAGTAATAACGGTCGGGATAGGGAATGCAAATAAGGGCGGATTGAATTTTTTAACTTTATCGAGAGTCAGCTATTGGCTTGCTAGGAGAAGAGTGGGGCTATATTCTACAAAGTATGCAAATGTTGCTCATAATCCGGAGTTATCGTTCAAGACTGTTCGGAAAGAGTCGTCTATCGAAGATAGATACTGATTATCTGTAAATATTTGATTACTCCTATTCTATCGCCTAAAAATATTTTAGGAATAACAGTATTAATAATTCGATAAATTTGTGCCGCTGTCTAGCGATCGACAGAAATCAACACATACTATATTTACCGAGACGTGAACATATTTTATATCGTCGGGATTTTACACGTCAAAAATTAGATTCTCCGTCCATCACCGCGTTGCAATCCTGATGATCGATAGATAAAAGCGGCGACGACGGCGCCATTATAATCGCCGTTTTACACTTTGGATGATTTTCAAAGTCAAAGGGATTTCGGAATGAGGCACCGACACGCGCGGGGGTGTGCAAAAGGCGAGTTCGAGCCGAGAGAGGGCGAAAGAGAGAAAGAAGGGCCTCATTGGTGAAGCGGATTGTGGGAAAATTGCGTTTCCCCATTACGACGAGATTAAAGTCCCGTCCCGGATTGCAGTTCCGCCCTGTTTCTTCCGGTGCCATCCTCGTACATAAGAACCGCAATTAACCCACGACGGTCACACTGATCCCAGGGTCCACGGTTCCCCGCGGCTATTTGCGGTGTAAACGAAAAATAAGGGTGCACGAAAGATCGAGGGATGGAGTCGGTCCGACGATCGGCAAACAATTATTTTTCCTCCGCGCACGCAAGGACAAACAAAATGTCGCGGCTGGCGTAAATGAGCAACCCTTTGCCCAGCCCCGACGGAAAGAAATCTTTCTTCGACACGACCAAATTTATTTTGCCCCCAGGTTGGTGTTTCCCCTCTCCCCAACGTACGTTATTAAAGAAAGCGCCGTGGGACTCTTTTTTCCGTTTCAATAGCCCTTTATTGCCTTGTCTTTGGTCTGATCCAAAAAGATTCTGGGATTGAAGCGTAATCTTCTTTTAGACACAACTTTTTTTCCCTTACGCTTAAATTTATTTTGGTGTCGTATCTGACCTAGTATCTAAATTCGTCGTATTTTATTGATTCGCTTCTGATTCGTTGAAATATCACAGATCACACTGGATAAAATGGATGAATCAACAAACGGAATCAGACTTTTACTACATGTTAAAATAATGTTGTTTATATATTGTATTTTTTTTTTCTATATTGGATGTGTGTAAAAAAAATATAAAAAATAATATATATATATATATATATATATATATATATGTTCAAATTTAAAACTTTATAGGTACAACGCGTTATTTCGCATCGCGATAATCCGTGACGCGCGTCGAGACATCTCCGCGAAAAATGTCGGTGGCGCGAGTCGACGAGCGGACCGATAATTAACAGTAGAGCACAGTCATGTCAATTAACGCGGAGTAAACGAAAGTTCCATAACAAAACTCGGTCATGCACGACCGTTGGTCTGCTATTTTAATCGCGAATAATCGACGTCTGCCGAACGGCCGGACGGGTTAGTTCACCGCGCGCCGTTATACACGCTCCCGAGGACAGTCGCTTTGGGACGAATTTATATAATTGAATTCGGTTCACTAGACTCCGCCCAGCACTCGAAACACTACGGCCGGCTAGTTCTGATCCGGAGCAGCCGAATGGGCTAACGAGAGAATAACAAGCAACGGCGAGCGAACGGACGCGGAATCGCTCGAATCGGCCTGAATGTCGAAGAGTAGCGGAGCGTGTTGGCGGCCAGCAATGCAAGAAGAACAAAAATTAAAAATAAAAGAACACGATGAGCGCCTATGACGCTCACATGAACAAACTATCGCATCGCACATATCGGTTCAGAGTTTTTCCTTCTTTTCTTTTTTCCCCTTTCTCTTTTTTGCTTACTTCGCCGATATTCAGGGATACAGGAAGCAATCATATATTTCCTCGATCGCCGATATAAGATACTAGATATTAAAATAGTAAGAATAACTATGTAACTTAAATATCTGAAGAAATTAATCTTTCGTGATGTCGAGTTAATTTCGGATAAGATTTATTTCTGAGACATTCGTAAAAACTCATTACTGAAAAATTTCTTTTCAAGATTTTCAGTATTTTAAAGATTAAAGCTGCTGTCAAAATAGTGACCTGTCAAAATCCAACAAAAAAATTTTTTTTTAATTTTTCAAAAAAAGCTTCCTTATTGATTTTGCGCATGATTGGTTACTCCAAAAAGATTATGTTCTTTTAAATAAATTTACTGCTTCGATATTCACTTTTCCGAGCGCTTTTATAGCGGAAGAAAAAACAGACGAATCGGAAATATCAAAACAACATCTTCGGCATATCGCTGTGCATCGATCTCCCTGCGGACTTGGCAACAAACGACCTTTTTCCATCGTCGAGCGTGCATATTTCACTCGGAAGCGTCACGGGAATACGGCCGACGCACGACGAAACTTAAATCAGGAATTCATAGATTCCGGCGTACTTTCTGCGAGAGCCCCGAAGCTCTTACAGAATCCTCTCTGTACCCCTTCCAAGAGTCGTTCTTCCTTGAAGAAACACAACATTTCTATTTCACGTTCCCGCGGATAGCTTATTTTATTTTCCGACGTGCAACAGATCCAACTTATCGTAAAGTAAAGATCTCTAACTGGGAACATTGAAGTTAACCGTCTCTCGTGCATTCTATTCTTTCAGATGAAAAGAAAATGGCACGAAAAGTAAGTGAATAAGTTAAGCGGAATAAAGCGGAATAAATCAGCGCGATACGAATAGCTTAAGATTGTGCTAAATAGTCTTGATTAAGGATTCTAAAGATTATACATTACTGTCGTGAAAATTCTATCTCAGATATCCCGGATTATGTTCCTGAACGTTCGCACAAGAAAGTTGGCGCCAGCTTGCGGACTTATGCGCGGAATGGATTTACAACGCATTGAATTAAGCCCAGCATTTATCGACGACACGTAGTTCGATACTGAGTTTTCTCTGTCCCGCGTTCTGTCGAACGAGCTCGTACTCGTGGCAAAACTCAGACGGAAACTGCGTTTTATTGCGGGAGGGGAGAGATTGAATTCGCAAATATTGCCTCGAGACTTTCCTCGTAAGAGGTGTGCCGGGGAAAAAGGGAGAAAATCTAACACGGAAAAGTTGGAGGTGTCTACGTATGTTGTTTTTCCTGTTTTCTTCACGAATAAAAGATATAAACGCAATCAATATAAACGCGATAAACCTAAATTATTAGCTAAGATTTCAGTTACGAAAATTAGAAAAACTTTTATACATCTCACATCACTTATATACATATCTCATTTAAGAAAATACGTATTAAAATAATATAAATAATTTTACGTGATGTATTATATATATTGATGGACAATAATTCTCAATGATGTTTATATTATTAAAGAAATGTTTAATACTTGTGAGGATACTTTTATAAGCTCATCTCGCGATAAAGCTTTGAAAAATACTTGATTTACAGCGTATTTCGGACACACTCGGTACACGCTAAATTTACACGCGAATACATAGATACATGTGCATACTCACCGCCAGCTTAAGAAGACGCTCGGAGGCCTTGGCTACGTCCATATTCTGCAACGCAAACGAGAGAGGTACGAGATTATTAATGTAGAAGGTAAATACGTGGGGAACGTGTACGGGGAAGGAGTGCGTTAAGAGAAAGAGGGACAGGAATGAAGCAGATATGCCCTAAAGCAAAGCTGAACGCAAAACAAATGTAAGTTAGGACGGCAGGTGTGAGAGGGCGAAACATGTTACCAACTATAAAATGTAACTTTCTAATTGGATTTAAGATCGTAAATATAATAAACCATAAGATCGTAGGGAGCTGAATTAGTTCGCGCGTCGCACTCGGCTTGTACAACTCAAAATTTGCAAAAAAACATTGCGATCAAACATTGCGTCACGATAGAAATTTTGAGCTATGCGTTACGGTTAAATCGAATCAATAAATCGTCAATTCTTCTAAATTGAAAGGCTGCAGCATTTATACGCATCTCTATACAAAACGTGCTATGCTCTGCTGCAACACAATTAAAGGTTTACTTACGGATGAACGCCCACGCGAAATTAGATTAACGTCACTATCGAGGAAGCAAACCGCAAAATTTAATCCGCGTGTCGAAATGCGGTTATATGATATCGTTTGCATTGTTATTATTTGAGAAATATCGTTTTATAAAGCGGATTGATATCTCCAAGAATTGCATCAATCATGATCTAGGACGTGATGCATATTAACAGCGGACGTTACACTAATAGATAAAATGTATAAAAATTATATAAAACTTTACAAAGATAACTGGATAATTTTATTACAATATTCTAAATGCTAGATCTAATTAATGTAATATTTGATTATATCTCAAAAATTAATCCTTATTCTTTGAAATATCATACATTATCGTTTTAAATCATTTTAATTCAATTGTATTGACTTTTTAAATGTACAGAAACATATTTCTGTACATTTAAAAAGTCAATGCAATTGAATTAAAATATATCTTTATATGTATACATATAAAGATTTAAAGTGATATGTCACTTAAAATATATCATTTATCTTTTTATACATTTGTCATCTGTAACATAGAAAATTGCACATAATGTCATTAATTATTTCTGTGCCTCCCCCCCCCACTATTTGTATTATATTAAATTCTGGAATTATAATACTTTAAAGAGAATTATTATATTAACGAAAAATTCTTCGAATTCATTTACGTCGTAATATATAAATGATGAATAATAATATCTACCTATTCTATTTAAGCATTGGTATCCCAATTGGGATGACATACATTTACCGGAAACAGAATTTCATATATCGGACATAATTAAATTTAATATGCGGATTCAATTGAATAATAGAATTAATCAGTAAAATTCAACACCCACCACACATCATACTTATGGCACATTATTAGATTAAATAACGAACTTTTAACTCAATTTAACAATAGCTTCTCCATTAGGCGAGGATACCAGGAAGCATCCTTTCCTTAATATAGATTTACACTCGGTCTATGTCGAATGAGGAGCTTTCCGCCGATGGAATTGATATTTCGTGCACAACGCTAATTGAACACGGGGGAAGGAAGCCGTCCCTCCGGCGTTTCGCTTAAGTGGCGGTTGTTGAGAGGTCCCTCCGAATGCTACAACAGCCAGCCACTCGCGCTTATATACCAGGTTTGCAAATAAATACCTTTAGAGCTTCCCTGCAACTTCAACACGTCATTACTATGTGTGTACGCGCGTGCCAAATTCCTCTTTAAATAGCAATATCTTTTTATAACAGAAAGTAACGGAAAGTCGTGAGTCTTCGAACACTTTGTTTAAACAAACTGTATATCTTAACGTTTAATGAAAATTCCTTTTGATACATCTAAATTTAAATAAAATTATTTCCCAATAGGATTTTTTAAAGAATAACGCTAATTAATATTTGTTAAAATAAATATATTTAGCATTGTCATCTAGCTTTGGCACGAACAGTCCTTTTTTCACTTTTTTGACTAATTAATGTTTTTTTATTTAATTTTCTAAATAGAATCTCGTTTCAATTAAATTAATATAATATAATATGCAAAAGTAATTATTTGAAAGTTAATTAAATATTTAATAAATTAAAAGTCGAGACAAATGTATTTCATTTCCTAATTTAGCAACAAATAACACATTTAATACGACAATGGAATATACGCAACTGGATCACACTAATTGCAATTATCGTGACGTATTGCCGTTATTACAGTTAATATTCTGCAGCACACGTCCCGTGACAATATCACGATGTTAATTAAATTACTCGCGTTTATCGCTGTTGCGAAGAATTGTTTAATAGAAAAATGACAAAAGCAAAATAGAGAATGATTACTATTATCTAGTAATCCACGCAAGTTAATATGATATGTACCATATCAAACGATGAACATATTCGCACATTCTATCTGCTTGTACACTACACGTTGATGAGATACGTTCAACAGTGTCGTGTGATGATTTTATTGTCATAACTACAAATTAATTATGGCGAATTACCGACTTAAAAAGACGAAGTTCCAGCGAGAGGTATTAAAGTTTTTAAAGACTATATCGTAAACAAACGCTTAAGTCTCAAAGAAAATGATTTTTTTACGACGGCAACAAGTTGTCCCAACGAGGATTTCATGTTTCCTTAGCGCCAACTTTACAGCTCGGTTTAATGAGGCACGATACGTTACGCGGCCTGATAATTACGACCTGGGGCAAGTGGCGAGCTCGGCTTGCCTTGTGCATCTGCTGTAAAACGCTACCTTCCTGCGTGTAATTGAACGATTAAAAGTAGCTCTTTATAAAAATAGCGAAAAAGTTCTAGTGGACATAAAAATAAAAAAAGCAATCGTTCAAAAAAAAAATCTAAGGACACCGTGTTATTCGTTATATTAATCGCTTACGTAAGCGCACTTTGACAAGAGGAGCAAACTAGTTGAATTTGTATACTCATGAAATCACGACATCCTGAATGATTGCATTCCGACCGAAGTTGCGAGGATGCTTGGTGGTTCGTGAGAGCCTTCACGAATGAATAGCAGCACTCGAGATGCAGACGAAAAAAGGGGAAAGTGAAGGGTATCCAAAGGATCGAAAATAAAAGCAGAATGGATTTCCCTCCGGACGATCACGTCTGAAACGTCTCTCGTAGATAGCCTCGGGCCATATTTCTCTCTTTTCTTTCTCTTATTTCTACTCCGCCCGCTCTATCTGTCCTATTTCCGCTGCGTTTGTGGAACGCGAACGATTGAATCACGCATTGATTTTTGAATGAAGAGTAAAATATATGAAAAGAGAGCAAAATATTTCTTAACTGTCGTAAGAAATAAGAAAAATACCTTTCAGTCAAGATATTCGTGTAAATATATAATATAGTTGAATATATAATAATTACAAAAATAAATTAAAATTAATAAAATACACGGTTAAATATCGCTATGAGGAGATGTCTGCTAATATATTTGTACAGAATTGCATGCGAAATTGAACAGCTACAGTGCGGTTTAATGCAGTTTAAAAATTTCTTCTTTCGCAACCTCTCCCTTCCGTCATCTTTATTCGACGGTGATACAGTCGAGCGTTGTCATCCTTTTCGCGGCGGTATAAAAGCGCGAATGCTGTTCGTGGCACTTGAACGAATATATACGTTGCAAAACTCCGAATGCGAGAGAAGATGAGAAAAAGGAGAAATAAATGTGGGAATAGAAGGGAGAAGTAAGAAAAAAATATCCTTGCCATCGTACCGTTGAGGAAACGCAGCGACCCTATCTGATCCCCTCGTCGCCGCCGGTCGTTTCCTTCGCGCGCCGTCGTTTCAATTAGCGCCGAGAGATTTACGGCTTTGCATCCGCGAACATCTTGTCCTGCCGCCAGGAAGAGTCCTCGAGATACCAGGAATTCGCTCCAGTCGGATTGAATCTCGGCCGGCCGACAATGGCGCGGCGAACGAGAGGTACTTATGTAGACATCGCACCAACCCTTTCGTCCTTCGACCGAAGGACCGATCTTTCATCGCGCATGCACGTCGGTAGATGCTTAAGGGAGATTTTACGAGCGAAGCAGATGCGATCCTATCTGTCGATAGGAGGATTCGTGGAAGTTTTTCTAAACCAACGAGTTCTCCGAGTGAAGCTTTTATAGAAGCTTGGTAAAAATCGTGACGATCAAAATGACGTAAGGGATGATCCAATTATACATGAGCTACATTTCGCGATCGTAAAAATAAAATATGATAATTATAAAAATAATAATTAAATCAGGTATGATTAAAGTAAAGCGCTTATTTGTAGAGACATTAATATTTTTTCTCTTCAAGAAATAAAATTTTCTATGTTTGCCATGATTATATTTAACATCAAATACACATCCAGAGTGTACTACTAAAGACATAAAGAATAGTTTAAATGATCCTTTTAGTACTGTTAAACAAATTTTCGCCAAGTTCCTGCGCCCATTACGCGAGAAGCCTGTTTTTCGGCGAATTAACGTTATGCCCAGAATTCAACTCAACTCCTTTCCCGAGGCAACCAAAATATTTACTTCGATCTGACAACTTCCAGAATCGCACTTCCAGACTACGCTACTGGAGCGCAGCGGAAGACAAATAGGATTAAAAGGCACTCGACGTGGTCTTAAGTGTTTCGTGCCGGAGCGCCAGCAAAAAGGGGGTTCCGCGCGCGGACAACTACCCTCGCTGTTCTCTACTCACCAACGTCTTCTAGTACCAGTTAGCAATCGAATAAATACTGCCTCTCTTCTCTGTGTCCTCTTTCTCTTCTTCTCTCTCCCTCTCTCTTTCTCTCTCTCTCTCTCTCTCTCTCTCTCTCTTCTCT